TAACAAATTGAAGGGCATGAAATTAGTGCTGTACTTCATAAGAATATGAGGTGAGGAGGCATAAATATGAGTGACAAAGTAACATTTACAGGCATATGTAAGGAGGCCTGTATAATTCATCCTTCCTCACCTCAGGGCTATCCCAATACAAATGAAGTTCCCAACGACTGGAAAAAGGGAAATAACACCCCCATTTTCAAGAAGTGGGAAATGGAAGACCCAGGGAACTACAGACTAGTCACTCTCACCTCTTGGATCAGATTCTCCTGGAAGGCATGCTAAGGCACATGAAAAACAACAAGGTGCTTGGCGACAGCCAGCATGGCTTCACTAAGAGGAAATCCTGCCCGACCAATTCAGCGGCCTTCTACGATGGGGCCACCAAACTGATGTATAGGGACAAAGCAGTTGATGTCATCGACCTGCACTTGTGCACAATATCCTTGTCTCTAAACTGGAGAGACAAATTTAATGGATGGACCACTCAGTGGATAAAGAACTAGCTGGATGGCCACATGAAAAGAGTTGTGGTCAATGGCTCAATATCCAGCTGGTAGACCAGTAACGAGTGGTGTCCCTTAGGGATCGGTGTTGGGAACAATCTTCTTCAACATCTTTGTCAGCAACATGGACTGCAGTGACAGAAGAAGGGGTAACGGGTTTAAACTTAAACAGGGGAAGTTCAGGTTAGATATAAGGAAGAAGATTTTTACTGTGAGAGTGGTGAGGAAATAGAATAGGCTGCCCAGAGAAGTGGTAAATGCTCTGTCCCTGGACGTGTTCAAGTCCAGGTTGGAGAGGGCCTCAGGCAACATGGTCAAGTGTGAGGCATTCCTGGCCATGGCAGGGGGATTGGAACTAGATGATCTTAAGGTCCTTTCCAACCCTAACCATTCTATGATTCTAAATTCCAAAGTCCTACTACAAAGTGAAGGCATCAGAGTATTTCACTGAAACAGAATAAAACAGCTGTTTTGCCATGCTTCATAGAACTATCTGAACACAGACGCTTGCAACAGAAAACATTAAGCGGTGTTACACATACGGGTAAGAGCCAAAATTCCATAATGCCTATGCATTTATTATAGCTAAGTGCTCTATCTAATGACATATAAGTCAAACTAGTGAGATCTTTTGATCAAGACACCATTTTTGCTCCACTGGCTGTTGTGGGCTCTGAACAGTTGCTTAATTTCAATATTGACTTTAAATATTTTCAAGTCTGGCTTATGTGATGTCCAACACAGTGGCCAAGAGATACCCTGAGTCAAAGTAAAACGTAGAACAATGTTACAGAAACTTCATAAAAACATTAAAATCAGTATCACTATTCCGAAGTGGAAGGAGTAGCTATTTCCTGAACAGTGATCTTCTGACCCTGCTGCACTGGAGCAATTATCATTTGAGGCAGAATACTGAAAAGCTTTCCCTTTCCTGCTGCACCTCCACTTAGCTGCTGCATCACAAGACGGCAGACACAAAATACTCCCAATTCTGCCTTCTCCAAGAAACAGCAATGGTTCTCAAGCTGTTTGTATTCCCCCAATTAAAAAAAAAGTAAAAATAAGGGACATCTGAATGTCTTTTTTTTTTTTTTTTCCTCTCAAGCACATACACAGATATCATAGAATCACAGAATAGTTAGGGTTGGAAAGGACCTTAAGATCATCAAGTTCCAACTCCCCTGCCATGGGCAGGGACACCTCGCACCAAACCATGTCACCCAAGGCTCTGTCCAACCTGGCCTTGAACACTGCCAGGGATGGAGCATTCACAACCTCCCTGGGCAACCCATTCCAGTGCCTCACCATCCTAACAGTAAAGAATTTCCTCCTTATAGCCAATCTAAACTTCCCCTCTTTAAGTTTTAACCTGTTACCCCTTGTCCTATCACTACAGTCCCTAATGAAGAGTCCCTCCCCAGCATCCCTACAGGCCCCCTTCAGATACTGGAAAAAAAGTTGCTTCCACCACTATCTGATGTTAAAATTGATGCTTACTGAAAAAGTCTGAGATTATTTTTTAAGAAATATTTTTATAAATCTACAGTATTGTTTCAGTGTGGTTAAGAAGCATCATTCAAAATTATTCAAAACCATCAGAAGACCTAGCAGAATCCAGTACCTCACCAACATTTTTTGGACTGGCGTATAAAAATCATTACTATAATTCTTTTTAATCAAGCAAGAAACAAAAAAAAAGTTTTCTAAGGAAATTACTTTTAATTTGATAAAGATTGCACAAAACTATTTTTAGATATTTTAGTGGTGTCAATAGCTTAATATTTTCTAGTTCTAAACACATTCAATCCAGCAATAAATGGAGAAGGAGCACTAGTCTACTCTGCCAAGATTGGTATCAGACAAGAGCAAAAAAGACCACACACAGCAAACATGTAAGAATCAGAGAACTGGCCTTTAATTGAATGTTGCAACTTAGTGGCCAAGATACTCAGAGATCTTACATTCAGGAAAAACAACATATCCGGAAGTAAACTTTATAAATCTACCTACTCATATCGGATGACGCATCTGATGCATTAAATAGAGACAGAGTTTAAAAGCAGTATTCCACATTACCCACAATGTAACTGAAAAGCCTATGTTACTTGAAGAGATAATTCAAATAGCTTTTTTCTAAGGAATGCATGTTTGACTGTTGTTTTTGCCCCACACTGTTGTTGCATAAAGGTCACAACTGTGAAAAACACACAGGAGCAGGATCATGATCCCATGCCAAGTCAACCAAAATTAATTCCATTCCCAGTTTTGTGAATGACTTGCAAATTGAGTGACAAAATTACTTTATCTTTTTTTTGTTCATCTGTATAATGATACTTACCTACTTCAGTAGGTTATCTAGGTTGGAACCTAATTATGGGTATGTTAATATTTAGGAAGCATCATACATCCATTCCCACAAAAATCTGTCCTACAGTAGCTTGTCTAAGTTTTTCAGGACAACAATTATCTATTTTTTTTTTTTTTTTTTTACTGTTCCCAGAACAATAGGGTCTTAATCCTTGACTTGGAGAGCTAGATACCATTGAAACATAAATAATTAACAAACAATAATGAGTTGAGAGGTTTAGCGAAGTGTTATCCTTCCCAGAGCTCCAAGGCACAGAACATTTAAATGACCAGGATTTAGCCAATGCGAAGGGAACTGGGGACAAGGAACCATAGCCTTGGTTGCTTGCTAACAACTTTGGTGGCTTGCTCTTGAAAGAGCAGGGATACAAAAAAGACAACTGATGGAATGCATATGTGAGAAGAGAACACTATTCAGAGGAACATACGGACTGAAAACATAGTTGCCTTTTGAGAAGGCATTTAGGGTAAAAGCTTTTCATGTGTTTGCCAGCTCTACTGTATCTGCAAACTAGAAGCAAACACAGCAGGAAAAAACAAGGGTTTGTTTCGGGATTTGTGTCTTGTTGGGTCGTTGTGTTGTTGCTGGTTGGTTTTTTTTTGAGAAACACCACAAATATGTAATTTGGAAAAGAGGTACACCTCAACAGGAAAGGAACAGTTGTACAATCAACAGTAGCTGTTGTCTCTTGAGATGTGTTCTATGCACATATATAGAATCACAGAACAGTTAGGGTTAGAAAGAGCCTTAAGATCATCTAGATCCAACCCCCCCTGCCATGGGCAGGGACACCTCGCACTAAAACATGTCACCCCAGGCTCTGTCCAACCTGGCCTTGAACACCACCAGGGATGGAACATCACAACTTTCCTGGGCAATCCATTCCAGTGCCCCACCACCCTTACACCCTTACATATGCTGCCTTTATCATGAGTATGCCCGCTACTTTCAAACTAAAGCCTCACTTTCAAAGTAACTGTATCAGCTGCGTGCTATTGTAGACACTAAGAACATCCCCCCTGCCTCCCATCAGAAGTAAAAAAGTTGGATTTAGTCCAACCACTTGAGTAGCTCTTCATCTTGGACAGTGCTTCATCTTCAGCATCTAAGGATAGCTTCAAGTATCAAGCATAAAGGGTATGACGTGGAACTCATGCCAACATTTCTAAGTAAAACAATTACTGAATATTAAGCAACTTTTTTTTCTTCATTGTTTGTCCATACCACTTGTTCTGCCTTGGTGATTTCTAAGCTATGTACTCTCTGAAGGTGGGTATCAGTAACTTGGGCTTGTTTACTCTAGAAATGAAAGACCTATGGGAAGTGCGACTATCATCAGTACTGAAGTGAAAAATAAAGAAATACTCTGCTTCCAGTCAGGCTGGAAGATACCTGGAGGACAGGCAATTTCCAGAAGGTGACGAATGAAAAGGAAGTAGAATGCTGAGACGAAAGCCTGGAGTGTTTCCAGTAAACTGTGAATGCAGGGTGGGGCAAATGAAAGCAGTCATCAAGAAGGATAAAGGCAAAAGAGTCAGGGTTTAATATACTACCAGCTATTTTTATTTTCTTAAATAAAGATAATGTTAAAGCAATATATTAGAAAAAAAATAGAATTACAAAAGATACTCCAGTAAAATTATTTTCAGCCACTAATCAAAGTATGTACAACACACATGTAACACAAAACTGATTACTTACCTAGATGTATGAATATTATCCCAACATTTTAGACCAGACTGTATCACATCATATTAATGTCATTATTAAACTGTGCACCCAAAACTCCTGATGCTCAGTCAACAATGCATACTTAATACATACCTAACTTTAAACACATTAACCCACTAATTTAAGCAATGTATTTAATGCACAATAAAAATTAAAGCAAATCTTTCTAATAGTTTAGACCCCCCACCTCCTCTTGATTTTGGCAGTTTGATAATAAAAAAACTTGAATACAGTAGAAATAGAAAACATTTTCATCAAAAGACTACAGAGAAGTAACATGCACACAGTTGTGATCTGAAACGGATGCTCAATCTTGATTTTTGAAAGAAGAGAAATAGTTACTTTTTTTTAAAACTAAACCAAATGGAAAAAAGTCTTAGAAAGTCTCAAAGTCTTACCTGTTGGTAAGCTTCATAGATTATATCAAACAAGAAGGCCTGAGGCATTTCACTCGCTCTGTACCTGGCACGTTCCAATGAGTGATCTAGGCAGCCATCTGCAGCAGAGGCAATAACAGTAGAAACTAGAGGACGAATTGCTCCTGCTGCCTGTGGAACAAAACATAGAAAGAGGCCTAAATGTTACTAATACTGAAGCCTATCAGAGTGCTGATAGGCTCTACCTCAAAAAAAAGTAGAGTTCCAAAATATATTTTCTAGTTACTTATCTTTTATGTATCTCATAATGCATAAGTCATGCTGAAGTCTGTATGAGACTTTTAAGTTGAATAAAGTAATGGAAGACGGCATATGTAAATACACAGTGAGGAACAGCTAACAAAAAAAAATCTTAACACCTTCTTAAGCATCAATTGCAAATACATGCACAAATCTGAGTTCAGTTCTCAGACTCTTCTACATGCATACTAGGTGGTTTATGTGAGGACAGTTTTAGGCCTATTCAGATAGGAAACAGCAGGAGACAGACTTGAGAGGTCTTGACAATCCACACCTACAGCTTTCACAGATTTCAATCTGGCTAAACTGCTCAGAAATCAGCAACAAGAAACGTTTCAGGAAACTGAGCTTGCTCCTCCATGAGAATTCACCCTGTGAAATATTGAGTAACCACACTTACAAGTGTATACTGGGAAGGCAGTATATACATTAGAAAGCATTCAATATGGAGCAGCACTGTGCCCCAGAATAAATATTTAAATCCTTGTATTCCAGTTTTGGGTTTCCTGAAGTTTTAAACTAATTAAACATATATCTTTGATCTTCTCATAAATATACAGTATTAAAGATCTATGGCATATCTGGAACAGAACTCTCCTAGCTGCTTTTAGTCATTTTGATACCAGAAAGTTACCCAGACTTCATCAGTCACTTATAAAATGTTCACATGAACTTACATATGCTAAAAGCAATTGGGCGAAGAGCTGTTCACACAATTATGAAGAAAAGGATAAAATGGCAAAATATTGTTTATCAAATCACAGGGCAAAAAGCATGCTCCATAACAATGCTAACCACTGAGAATGGCATCCTTACACTATACAGTTTATCAGCAATTTTTAATGGCTATAAAGAAGAGTAATTGGTACTATTCCACAATATTTGGAATTATCCAGCATCTTAAACCAGTACACCTAGAAAATCAGTCTCAATGGTAAATTCTGACACTTTTTACTGCAACCACAGAAGACCATCTGATGTCTAGTGAGCTTTGACACAGTAAAAAAATAGGTCTCATGACATAAAAGAAGAGCACTGCCCTCATATATATGAGTCCTGTCCATTCTTACAAGATTTCTGACCTCAGATAAGCATACAGTGGCAGAATGAGACACCAAAGTGAGCCCAAATTCCTTTCTCTTCTAAGAGGAAAAAAACTGGTTGTCTTCCCTCCTCTCCCTCACACTACTGAACAATAAAACAAAGAGGAATGCAGTCAGCGTGTTGAGCACTTTATGAGCTCTAAATTACAGCTTCTTAGTTAATTCTTTTGCAGAATGAGGACAGAGATGTGAACCAAAATCTGAAAAGCACTTTTTCTTTCTAATACATAGGAAGAGATATCTATATAAAATACTACTGTCCTGTGTTCAGCAGTAGCAGTCATTTTTTCTCCTTAGTAGCTGGTGCAGTGCTGTGGTTTTGACTTTCGGCCTGGGAACAGCACTGATAACATCGATATTTTTAGTTACTGCTCAAATGTGTAGTCTGGCCAAGGACTTTCTGAGCCTCATGCTCTGCCAGGGAGGAGGGGAAGCCGGGAGGAAGCAGAGACAGGACACCTGACCCAAACTAGCCAAAGAGGTATTCCATACCACAGCATGTCATGCCCAGGATGTAAACTGAGAGTTAACCAGAAGGGCTGGTTCACTGCTCGGTCAGGCTGGGTATTGGTGGGTGGTATTGTATTCTCTTCCCTTGTTATTTGCCTTATCATTATTATAATTGGTGGTAGCAGTAGTGGTTTGTGTTATACCTTCGTTACTGGGCTGTTCTTATTTCAACCAGTGGGAGTTGCATTCTTTCGATTTTCCTCCCTGTCCCTCCAGGAGCATGGGTGAGGGGGAGAGGAAGAAAGGCACAGAGTGAGCGAGAGGGCTGCGTGGTTCTGATTTACAGCCTGGGCTTAAACCATGACAACTACACAGAGCAAAACACCATCATCCAAAGGCACAACATGGTACAGAAAGATCAGTGAGAGCTATGAAGTCACAGAACTGTCTGTAAAGGATCTTGAGAAGTCATCCAGCCCATCCTTCTGACATAGGCAGGATTAATTTTACTTCTGTAATAGAAAAGACAAACTGACAAAACTAAACACCACTATAATGTTAGTAATATGTCCATGTATTAAATGAGGAGTAAATTTAAGAAATGTACTTTGAGGAAAAGCTATGCACAAGTAGAAGTAGAGAGTTTAAATTATGTGCAACTTATCCTTTATTTCCTATGATTCCAGGACATGGGTTATTACCTCTATATCCCAGCTGCTGGGCATTTGGACTACATTTTTTTGCTCTGCTGTCATATTTTAATTGGTCACAGACAGAGGGAAAAAAAAAAAATGACAAAATTAGAAGGTCATGGGAAAAGAAAGCGAGCAGTGAGCTAGCCACAACTTTTCTGTAATTAGTTAAATCTATTTGATTTTTTTTCTGAAGCACTTACCATTCCAGAAAACCAGCTAGCAAAAGAGGATTTCTTAGGCTGATCCAATATTTTATTACAGTTTTTAACAATCATGTCATGTTACATTTTAAGCATAAAACAGGCCAAGAGAATACAATGTGACTTGCGTAACCAAATCTCACAAGTGAAACACGCACTATGAGGAACAAAAAACCAAACTGCAATTCTAAATAAAAATGAAATACTCAAAATTATGTTCTTAAAAAGAGCTCTGAAACACATTGTTTTTCTGACATCTGGTTTATTGCACAATAAAAATTCATGAATGCCTGTATCAGAATGTGACAATACACTGAACCATATCTCCTGCTCAACTGAGGCCTAGCTCTTCCAGAAGATTCAGAAAGATTCAATTTCTAATAAATCCAAACACATCATTTTTTAAAATACCCAATGAACTTGTCAAGTAATTGAGAGCTTTGTGGCACCTAAAATTTGACAAATGGCATTTTCAAACAACTACAGTTCTGCTTTACACTACCCCAGTACCAAGTTCAGCATGACAAACTGAGTTTTTCACCTGTCTTTCCGCCATTTTACTGAGAAATCACAAGATGGGCACAACAAGATGTCTTCTGCAGCAAGCCCAATTAAACTATACCTGACACTGACTGAAAACATGAAGTTTAACACAAAGAGTAAGATTTACGGTTGACTTCTGATGATGCAAGGGAGAGAAATTCTAGCTATGTATGCAGTGACAGGGTAACTAGCAGTCATTTGATTAAAAAAAAAAAAAAAAAAAAAAAAAAGCTTTTTCTTCCAAAAAAGTACAACTCAGTCCTAGACTACTCTATGCAATAAATGGAGAATGCAGAGCTCTAGTACTACAGCCAGGAAATTTCTACTGCCCAGAAAACCTTTATATGATGAGCAGCTGGAGTCTGAAAGCTGTGAATCCCTGAGCTACAGCATACTTGCTAAGGTGAAGCACTGAGCTGAAATCTTAAAATCCTGTGACAAGATACAGAAACTGGTTGGTTGGTTTGCTCAGTACTGGTTTGCCTTTCTGCAGGACCTCTCTCTGCCTCAGCACACACACATGGGCTCCCTCAACCAGATGATATGACCCAACACAGGGCTGAGTGTTTACCACCTAAGGCGACTTTCAGACTAGGTGAAACTGGAATCAAGCAAAGGAAAATCTTGGCCTGTGTATGCCCTGCATTGTTTTCAGATGGGACAGGAAATCTGAGTTCCTAACACAGGAAACCTTGCATCTGCAGTACTTCTGGCAACCTTTTCTAGCTGGCATACACTGACACAACTGCCAAACCCAAGCTGGCTTACAAGACCTCACCACACATGCTTCTGCTTCCAAACTTGGCTCACAGGTACCTTCATTCATGGTGTAGACACAGTATTCAGCATATAAAAACAGAAGAATTGAGATGTGAATTTTGTTCTCAGATGGAGGTCAAAAAGAGAGGAAGAATTTAAGATGTATGGCTCGTTCTGCAGTACTCCCTTCTGGTTAACACAAGCGTCCTCCCTACTCGGCACAAAGCCTTTTCTGAATCCCATTCCTAGCAGTCCTGTAATGAACTGAACAGGGAGCTTAGGTACTTAAGACCGGGCTACAGGCTACATTTTTAGGACACCATAGGGCAAATAATACAGTAAGGTACTGCTGTATCTAAAGTGGCTTTCACCCCAATGACTGTGGGGTGCAAGTGAAGAACACAATCATCCAGATAGTCTATCTCCATTCAGTTACAACATCAAGTATTTTATTCTTTGCAAGGAACTTCCATGTTGTTTTTCTGGTTATAAATCAGTAACACCTATTTCCATATTAGTAAAGAGAGTACACACTAAGTATCACATATATTAATTTTATCTGTTCTAATTTGTGAGGCTTTGACTTGCTGCTTATGTCAGGAATGTACAAGTATTTGGGCCAGGTCTCAGGTAAGAAGTTCAGACATGAATAATTTTTTATTTTTTAAAAAAAGAACAAAACAAAGAAAAAATTTAAAATTGTAAGTACTTGTTACTGTCACTATAGTTTTACAGGTTTTTTTTTTACACTTTGAATTAGCCCACTAGAAAATACAAATCCTGTGAGTCTAAAGCAAGTGCCCAGGTCTTATACTAACATTTCCCTGCCCAGAGTACTCATCTTCCACTATATAATCAATTTGGCCCAGATCTCAAGTAGATCTGCTTTCAAGATCATGCACAAAATGCATTACACACCCTTACTGAATGTGAAGTAGATAGTTAATGGATAGTTAGATTGAATTTCTTTCAATGACCGCTTTACAGCCTTCAGGCCACTTCACAGTCAGTCACTCGAGTTTTAGTGAGCCTGGAATGTCCAGAAAATGCATACACTTTTTTCACCCCATTTTTTCCATATTTTGTCAAATAAAGTGTCAAAATATCTGTGGGCAAGCTCC